TAATAAATCACAGTTAATCAAATTTATTTGACCAAACAATTCGGTTCAGCAGCCTGCTTGGGAAACCATAATTTACATAGTAATGATTTTTTTATGAAAATTAATCTGAACTGTATCCTATCATCGACAGATATAAATTTCATTAAACAGCTATTTAATTTAGATCCAATGAGAACAATATATTGAAAATTGTGCATTTATTTTTTTTTAAATAAATAATCTTTTTTATTTAGATATTATCGAACGATGTGGTCAGCAACTATTAATTTTACTAAATAAATCAGGCCTTTTTTTTATTTATTTGATCTTGTAAGAATTTAACGAGACTTTTTAGATAAACTATTGGATCCAGAAACAAAAATGGACGAAAATCAGGAAGAACCTAGAAAGACGCTGTATTTTCTGCCCGTGTTAGAACTGGACAATATACGTCGCCGTAATAGGCCATATTTCCATCGATCTAGGTAACGACCAAAACAATGGACAGTTTCACGATCTTATTTGCATCCATCCTCTTAATTTAATAGTAAGCTTAAATTAATTGGTACCATTGATTTAGTAAAGTTCCTTTAGAATTTTTCTCAAAATATGTCAATGTCATGACAACATAAAATATAAAATCTTGTAAATGATAACACGCAACAATCTATTATTTGATTGCTATAATTACTAAATCAACACTTGATTCATTTTTGATATATATTATTGTATTTTTATTATATTGTTTACATGAGTTGTCTAATTCGAATTCGAATATAAATGAACACCTTAGCGCACAACATCAACTTGAAAATAAATGGAAACTATAGAACATTCACATACACAAATACTGATGTAAATTTAGAAAAATACGAAAAGAATTATTTTTACTTAGATGTAAATTATAACTCATAGTTATATAGAAATAATCGTGTAAATTTACGATAATAGGAAAAGAATTATTTTTCTTCAAATATAATTCATAACTCATAGTTATCTAGAGATACTCATATGAGTTTAGGATAATAGGAAAAGAAATAGTTTTGCTGAAAGAGAAGTAATAGTTGAAACATAGAGTCGCTTTTATGGATATGGTATGAGAAAGCATGAATTGACTACTTAGAATTTGATTGAGCATGTAGCTTCAAATGTTGAATATGACTTTGATAAGAAAGGAAAGAATTTCAGGCAGTACTCGATAATGGAAAAGCGTAGATAAATTGCTATGCTTGTTAGAATTGATAACTGAGATGATAGTGTTCTATAACTGTGGCGAAAATATAAAAATTAATTCTTTTTCTTTCTTTTATTTCTTATATATGAACAATTTACTATAATCATTGATATTTGAAGTTTATTGCCGAAGTCGTGAAGAACTCAGTAGTTGCAGTTTTGACAGCTGCGTGTCCAAAAACGTCTTTGCATGCGTAACCGACCTTTTATATCTATGTCGCGACGTGGGAAACGCGAAGCGTCCTTCCCTCCCTAGCCCCGAAGACACCTGACTCATTCGCGTGTCTGTGTACACAGCGATTTTAATGTTTGTTATACGTCCTTGCTTGCACAGTTTTCGATAAGTGAAGTATCAAACTTGGACTCAATTGAAGAATGGTTAAAACTTGAAAGCTTGAATTTCAAATTTCAGATTTCAACTTTCAATTTTCAAGTTTGAACAATACTGTCAAACTTGAAACTTGAACGCAATTGAAAAACCACTCCCCAAGGTCAATTTTCGACTATTCAACTTTTCCGATTTCGTAGCATCCTCAATTGGCGAGCTATGGTGTTTCTAATTATGCTTCTATGGCCCGACTTAGTTGAGACTTCAAAAATTGAAGCATCAAATCTGAAATTTGATATTTAAGTTTTCAAGTTTCAGTTATTGTTCAGTTTAGTGCAAGCTTCAAATTTCACATATGTAGATATGATCTGCTTATTTTGTATTTATTTTGAATCTTACAGACAATGTTTAGCAATGTATTTAGAATTATTGCAGATTCAAAAATCAATTTTCGTAATATTTTATGAAAAAAAACGTTTATTTCCTTGTAGTCAAAACGTGGCAGTGACTTTTCCTTGTTAGACATAATATGCAAGCACTAATGTCTGTTATCAAAAGCATTTACCATTATATAAATTTCAAATGTAATGAATTTAAATTCTTATAAGATAAAAGAGATGTTAAGCCTATCTATCATGATGTGGTCGAATATCTATATTAGTAGAAAATAATAGTTTTTATTTTATGTATGAATGTGTCTGCCGGCAGATTTTTTAAGCTTTGAATTCTTTTCGGGGTCGAATTAGCCATCTACTCATTTTTTATTTTTATTTTTATTCTTTTTGTTAAATTTTCGGTGATATACAAACCATCATCAGAACAAACGAATATAATTGTTTAAATTGCTGATATTGTTGTACAGGAGGAAATAATACGATCAACATCATCAAAACTAACGGTTCAATTATGTTTTATGTTTCTCTTCACTTGTAACAGTTACAGTTCAATGACGTTGATCGTATTATTCCTATCTGTACGACAACATCAACAATTTAAACAATTATATTCGTTTGTTCCGATGAAGGTCTCTATATAACCAAAAATTTAACAAAAAGAATAAAAATAAAAATACAAAAATACATATAAAAAATGAATCAAGTGTGGATTTAGTAATTATAACAATAAAAAAGTAGATTGTTGCAATAGCATTTACAAGATTTTTTTATTTTATACAATAAATCTATGTATTTATCAACTGATGTATGTGTCATGGCAACATTACGTGCTATTCATTTTTTTTCTGTAGTTCGAGTTACAATTAAACTGTAGGATATAGTGATTTGGTCAAGTAAAAAGTTCCATCTATTTTATGATATTGATGCGTCTTTTTACTCAACATTTGGAAGTAAGAACTAGCTACGATAAATACAAAAAAAAGATTTTCTTAATATTCTCTATCGAGATTTATTATTCAAGATCTGAATTCAAAGATCAGCGTGTATATTATCCTTTTTTACAGTACATATTGAGATTTACTATGTTCCAGACCGAATCATAAACAAAAAAGAAGATAAATGATTTCTAACAAACATACCTTCATGTAATATACCAGTTCTTTGATCTAATTCCTCAGGTGATACGCCATAGTCGAACTAAAACGATGAGATAACAAGCAAAATTAATTATGATCGTTGAAATTATGTTACTTCGTGTTCGTTGTTCATTGTTTACTATTTCGAATATTGTGGTTCTGAAAAGAGCATACAATTTTTCTCTTTGAAATATGGTAATAGAAAACAAAAATTCATTTTCTTTTCACTAAGAAGAACTTTGATTGGTCATATGTTTAAGTGAACAAAAACATGTTCAATTATTGACCAATGAGCACTGCATAGAACGCAAAAAAAATTCAAAGATAAAGTTCTAACAGACAAATAACAATAAAGTACAGATCAACCGAATTTTTTCACTCTATTTTTCTTGTTTAAGAATATTTCAGTTGACTCTTTTTTTTTCACACTCAGTATATAGTCAATTAAGAAAATGTATTGTTTAAAAATAATCTTTATTGATTAGATTGAATCGAGGAAAATCTAGAAGATAAGGAGAAAATCAAAATGAAACGTTTAACTTCATCTTCATTTCATTTAAAGATTCTTATTTTATCACAATAGCTAATTACTCTCGTAAACAATTTTTATGTAGCTACTTTCGATTTATACATGAATGAAGAGTTTGGTCGGAGTCAAAATAAAAGAATAATGGTTAAGGTTCGATACGCACTAGAGAAAATGGAAATGAATTAGGGAAAATGAGTTATCTAAATTAAAAAAAAAAGATTACAATATCGTTTTCTTAATGATATAATACTGAAAATAAATAGTTATTTATTTCAAATTGATAAAGATAAACGACCAATAAAAAAAAGCATCAAATCACCAATCAAAATATCGAATGTAATAAAAATGATTAATTTAGCAACTCAAAGATCATATTTTCATATACATGTATTTTGAAGAAATCGATGATTTATGTCTATAAAATCTAAATCCATTGTCACTAGAAAAGGGATTATCGACTAATGCAGAGAGAACTATTCTTAACCAATCAGATATTTGGCTTGTCCAAAAAATAAAAAAAAATAGAGGTTTTAAAGAGAAAAAAAATTGTCTCAAACAACAAGTAAATATTTCTTTATGTAATTTAACTGATCAATCTTTTTTTCTGTTTTATTAGAACTGTGGTATTAAAAAAAATAAATATCATATTTTAAAACAACAATGGTATTCCAATAGATCAAATAAATTGTCATTTTACAATTATTTCAATATTTGCAGCGAACAGTAGCACTAACTTGAAATATCTCTCCCAAATTCATAAACAACTACTGAATCGCTTGATTAATCTTTATTAAATTAAAATTATATAAAACTTATTGGTGTATCATTTCATCAACCATCCATTAGCTCTTAGATAATTCCTTAACAAGTTCAACAACTTATCAATCAAGAAAAAAATTTCGTTAAAGTACCTGCTTCCAGGTTTTGATAAGGTTTGTCAAGAAGTTGTTCAAAGTTCATCACCAGTAAACTTAGTCCAACGAACGATAATAAACAACAATGATTAAAGAATAATTCGTCGTAATTTTCACAATACTCGTAGGGTTGATTTTTATTAAACATGATTTGAATTGGATCGAATGTAAGTTAACATCAAAAGCAAGCATCCAGAATTTGGCTAAATATTTAATATTAACATCAGTTTTGCGACATAATTTTTGTCGCACTTCACAAATATTAGTTTATTTGCCTGGAGCACTCGTAAAAAAAACAGCCATCGCGTGATCATCATATGTCAGCACAAAATTGAAATATGAGAAGATTGACCAAGCATTTCATCGAGTATGAATTGAACTGTTGTTTTATATTGTCTAATTTCTTTGCCTTCTCAGAAATATTTAGTTTTAGAAAAAAAACAATCAGAAGAATGTTTGATATCACTATGTTCACAACTCAAGTCGATGCTTGCTTTTATTAATACAACAAATAATGATAATGTTCAAGTGAAAGTTAAAATGAAGATTATTTATGTACGCGGTTAACGTATTATTGTTCAGGAGATGCAACCAATCAAAAAAATGACCAGATCGTACAGGACTGGTCCGAACGGCGGTTGTGTGGATTGTGACAACCTCCAATATTTGAAAAAATTCTTTTTCACTTGATCAAAACTCCAAGAAAAAATAGTACTGTGGCATAGTATGAAAATTACTTTTTTCATCAATGTTTGTCTTGTTAATAACCGATCAAGCAGTTGCATATTCAGACATATTTAACAGTTGCAAACTCAGGAACATCGATTATTGAGAAGACAGATTTAATTCACAGTGACAAACCAACGAGCGACTCAATAACAGGTAACCGGAAGTGTTTCATAGTTGACCCGTTGTTAAATTAAATCTTTAACAATAATCGTTTTCATTTTGTTTTAGGTATATCAAGTTCATTAGAAGTAACATCATCACAAACAACACTTAACATCATCAGTGATGATAAATGTCTTCTTGATATTGGTGAAATTGGTGTAAAACTTCGTCTAATCGAAAAATTAATCAGGTCATGTAAAGATTTAATTAAACAATCAACATTCATCGATGTATGCATGGAAGCTTTTACCAAAAATTCTGATCATTTTGCTGATGCACTTATTCAAGCTGAAAGTGATTTAAAACAGTCGTGTACAGGTATTTTATCAACAATTGAATTAAATCGAAACAGAACCACAATAACTCAACGTAAAGAAGACAAAATGATTAATCGAGATCCCGGTAAAAGCACATTGTCAAAATGTAGCCGCTGCACTATTCAGTTAATGTATTTCTGTACTTGTAGGTTATTATGAACGCAATCACAAGTTCACAGAAGAACAATTGCGTTATTTTGTTTCAGTTGGTCCATTTCAACATAGACTTCACAAATTCCCAAAAAATAAAGTTTTAGAAGCAGCTAAAACAACATGTATGTTTTCAGCGACGTAGTACGATGAATATCCATATATTGAATGTGGCACACTGAAAGATTCAGTTTTCTGTTTCACCTGCAGATTGTTTGGTGAAGGTTAGTAGTATTATATGATACATTTATTATGTTACTCTTGATGTATTTTTATGATTGTTATTCGTTTCAGGACCAGGAGGTGAAAAAAAGACGAAGTTTGGACATCTGTTGGTGTAAATTCATGGAATAAAATGAAAAGCCGAGGTACAAAGAAAAAAGGTGAGCGTTAAAGTTGGTCAATTAGCCCTATTATTTCTAGGGAATAATTCATCACTGCTGTTTTTGCTTTTTAGGAAAGCTTGACACTCACTTCTTATCTATCTCACATAGATCAAGTGTTGAACGTTATATAAATTTTAAAACAAAAAAGGTGAATATTGATTTAATGTTGAATAGTAATCGATGTAACGAAGATCAAGAACAAGAATCAATTTTAAAATTAAATAAGCAGGTAGTAGTTACATTGCTTGATTCAGCTCGTTATCTGGCTAGACAAGATTTGGCTTTTCGAAGAGATCCCGAGAGTGAGGATAAGAATTGTGAGCTTTAAGCAATTTATTTGAATGCTTTTAAAACTTTTCTTGCTGTAGGAAATTCTGTGCAGCTTGTCAACCTTCTACGTCGAAGTAACAACACCTTGAATGATTGGTTTTTACAAACTAAACTGGAAAAATATCAAGTATTATGCAAATTTCCTCTTTCCGCGTTGTAAGAGTTAAGACTTTGGTTTTTATCTAGGTATCATATTTGAGCAAAAGATCACAAGATGAATACGTACAATTATTAGATGTTACTATCGAACGTCTGATTGTTAATGAAATTAATCAATCACCATTTATATCAATTATGATTGATAGTACTCCGGATTTGTCGTATCGTGAGATGTATTCGATTATCCATCAGATACACACAATATTACCAGGTGAAGGAACGTTTACTATCATTACAAGAATTACCGAGTAAAATTGGTGAAGATATTTCTCAATTATTATTAGATACATTACATCGAAAAGGTATATCAACTGATAAAATCATTGGGCAATGTTACGATAATGCACCCACATGAGTGGTATTAATAAAGGTGTACAAGCATGTATTAACAAATAATTAAATCGAGAAATAATGCATATACCATGCGAAGCTCACACATCGAATTTAGCTGTTCAACATGCCTGTGATTGTTCAACTGAATTTATAAATTTATTTATGTTAGTAGAAGAATTATACAATTTTTTTACATCCAGTGTGAAGCGATATTATTGTCTTCGAAATATACTTGAACAATCGACATTCGGTTTAACAATTAAATCACTATCAGATACAAGATGGACTGCAAATTATGAGTCTCTTCACTGTGTTGTTGAATCATTTAGTGAAATTATTGATTGTTTAGAATCAATTGAATTAGTTGAATCAAAACAATTCGATAAAGAAACAAAAACTCAAGCCAAAAACATCAAAAATAAATTAATGTCGTACGAGTTCGTTGTGTTATTAAAGTTTATGGTCAATGTTACACGTACAACTAATTTATTGACAATCCATTTACAAAAAAAAAGAAATGGATCTATTATCATCAATGGAATTAATGATAAATATAAACAAATTGATTCAAAATATGAGAAACAATGATGAAGCATTGAAAAATATCTTGTTGGTGCGTCTAATGAAACCGTTATATACTTTATTTCTACGCTTTAGTTTTTATCATAGATTGCTGAAAAATTTGTCGAACCATTCTATATTAATATTGATCAAGAACTTGATCGATTGCATCGTCTTCGGCAACGATTACTACGAATACATGCAAATCCGTCAGCAGCAGTACAACTTACTAGGTAAGATATGCAAAGAAATTTTGTGAGTTAATTCAAACCATAGTCTTTTGCATTTTATTTAGAGAATTGTTCTATATCAAACTATTTCCGACAAGTGTTAGATCATGTACATACAACATATCATGATTATATTCAAGTAATGATTGAAAAATTACGTTATTTCCAAAATTTAACACCCTATCGTATTCAACAATTAACAATGGATGATTGCAAACAAATGTATAAAATTGTACTAGGATTATCAAGTGCAGAGTTACTGTTTACAGAATTTGAATTGTTACGTGATACAATTGAACAGTGTGAGAACATGAACAACGTTGTAGGATTTCTACAAACATCTGGTAATCTACATCCGTTGTTGACAAATGTGTACAATTTCTTATCTACTCTTCCAATCACAACAGCAACGAATGAACGATGTTTTAGTAAATTAAAATTCATCAAAAACAATTTTCGTACAACATTAAAGAACAAAAAAACTAAAAGTTAAATTATATGTGCTGTTGAACATGATTTATTGGATGACTTGGATTTAAGAAAATTAGCTGATGAATGGGTAAGATACTTTCCTTTTCTTTGTTTTCTTACAATACACTCGAATAAAGCGCATTCGAGTTGATTTTAATATCTTGTTCATTTTGAATTGTTTCAGGCGCAAATGAAAGATCGAAGAGTCAAAATCAATCAAACATAAAAAAGTGAAAAATATCAATGAATAGTATGACGTAATTGTGTTATTAGGTTTGTCACATGTGTCGATTTTTTTACTTGTTTTTGTGATTGTACATACTTGATAATTATAATTAAACTGTACTTTTTTTTAACATAGATGAAAAAAGCAGCAAAGATATTTTCTGTTTTTTGTTTACAAAACACACTTGCTCGTAGAAGAAAACTTAGTCAAGATACACACTCCTATGTCAAAAAATTCTACTTACAACCCCCCAAAGTTTAGATAGTCGGGTCACCCCTGCAAAACTTAAGTAGAATATGAAGTTTGAGGGACGTGGGTGTGGGTTCACAGAGCATTAACATCCACGCCCACGCCCACACCCACAATTCATCGTTGAACTTTGTCATCATTATTAAATTCATTTAATAATTCTTTTATTAATCAATATTCACTTTTATCAATTGATTCACAAGACAGTTCAATGATTAGATTAGAAACTTATCCTCCTCTTTTTTTCATAATCAATATTTTATTATTCTTTTTTCTTCAAAGATATTTGTTTATATAAAGATGAAAGGCGAGAGAAAATCTAACACTTTCATAATGATTTAATTCCATTGAGAACTTTAGCTTTGGTAACATTTGAATGCATAAGTCGATTTTAACGCTTGTTGATCATCGTTCATTTTTATTATGTCAATGAATATATAAAATGTATCATTTATTACAACAATCAAATATTTCTATAATTATATCCAATGATGCAATACAACGTGAAACAATATCAATATTTGATCGTTTGGCTCAAGCATAAAATCGAATACAAATTGTTTGTTATTTTTGTCTTTCATATAGATTGGATGTTTAGAAGATATTTATGCTCTTTCAAATGTTATAAGATCAACAACAATTCGATCATTTTCTGCATAATCAAGATAATGAACTTTGTTTACTATACATCCATTTATATGAAATGATATTAATAATTTACAGTTATTACTCGATATTATTAATTTAGTCTTTTCCAGTAAAAAGGAAAAAAACGATGTTTATTATGTTTTTTTCTTTGAATTTTTTCTTATTTGAAGAAATAATGCAATAGATTGATTATTGAAGTTTCTTAAACTTGGATCTAATCCAAATAATCAAATGGTTGATGGAAATACATCTGATCATCTATCTGCATCTAATTGGTCAGATTGAGTAAAATCCTTCGAACAAATTAAACAAGAAATATAACCTTTTCTAATTTAAATGTATGTGTCATTTACTTAAATTTGGTGTTAATCCATTACTTGAAAATAATCTTGGTTTAATATCATAGAATAATTTATCGAAATTTAATGAAATAATTCAACTTGAATATTTACAAATATTTGTTGATATCAATCAAATTCGGATAAAGAGCTTTATATGATCATAATAATAATTAATTATTATTTTTTATATATTTTATCCATCTATAGATCTGATTTTCAATACTATTGTACACAATCATATTTATTCTTATAGTATATATCGTTTAGAGGACATCTTATTTGTTTACAACACAAATGGATAAAATATTAAAATAAAATTCAATAAAAAAGAATAATAATCAACAAACATTAATTCTTCAAGCAAATTGTGAACAAATTAAGATGAGAATAATCAATTAACAAATGATCTTTGGTAAATAAAATATTTATTATTCTATTTCATCAAAATCTTTTTTTTTAGAATGTGAAATAAGAGATATTCTTGAATTACAAACTACACTTAAAGATACAAAATACACAAACAAAAGATCAAATTGATGAATTACAAAAACGATTAGATATAACTGATAAATATAAAAATGTTATTTGATTTAAATAAATAAAAAATATTTAGAAAAAACAATTAATAGAAAAAAATAGAATTCTATCAATAAAAACATTTGAAATAAATGCAATGGAAGAACGTTATATTCACAATATATTTAGAAAAAGCTAAAATGAATTTACATCATATTGATCCACACCGTAATAATTCAATAAGTAGTTAATAAATACAATTATTAAGTAAATAAATTGATGAAAATTACAAGATTTTCACATCAATTTATTTTATTCGCTTTAAAAAATTTTTATTTAAATGGAAATAATATGACAATGTAATATTCCATCAATATATAAAAAACTACTAACCGATCTGTCCAATTTATCAATAATAAATAGAATCAATAATACTAATTCAAAAAGATAGTCTTTTTCAGGAATACAATATCTCTTTTTTTTCTTATACTTTTCTTTTTGCAATTTCATGTATGTAGTATGCACTATTCACTTCAATCGTTTATATATAATGAATAATTTTCTTGTCAGCATTAGAAAAATAATATAATATGAATTTTATAGATGTTAATATTTGCTTTTTGCAGTCAAATAAATTATATGAGTTTATTTGATTTTGATTCTTTATCAGAGTGTTCTTGAATAAAATCTATTAGTATAGCCATATGTAAAAATGTTGACTCTTGTGGCCAATGGTTAATTAAGAAGTAATTAGCAAATATCTCTTTAACAATATGAGAAAAAAAATCCAAAAATTTCGGAATAGAATGTACAGTATGAACTACATCTTTGATGAAATTTCCAGCAAGATAAGACTCGAAAAATTTTCCTCTTTAAAAACGGCTTTTTAGAGGCTCCATCAAATTCCACAACAAAAATTTCTGTCTTACACATCATCTGAAGATTGTGAAGAAGAATTTGAACAGGTGTGGATTTATTTTGAACTTCTCATTCAGTTATAAGAGTATTTTTTCATTTGCATATTCGTACTGCGTCACGTCCCAAACGAAACCTAAGTCGAAGTTTATTTTTGAAAGGTCTAGACATGCTCAGAAAAAACTTTAGATAGAGATTCTGTAGTCTTAAGAGCCGTCTATAGAATGTACCATTTAGTTTATAAAAATTCTGCCTCAATGCGTAGGTTTTTGAAACCGAAATGGATGCAATGAAAACCTATGTTCTCTTAATGTATTTAGAGTAATTCAGCATGTGTGTGACATATAAAAACTAGTTCTAGGAAAGTTTATTATCCAGAGATATACGCATTTTGATTTGTGATTATCATCATCTAAACTAAATGGAAAAATTGCTGTACCTGTTAGTACAGTTTTCAGTATTGTAGAAGTACCAAATAATCTTCCACAAATTTATGTACCAAGTTTAGTGCCAAGAATTAAAATAAAACTTGATTTACAAGGAAAATCACGTGAACGACAAAAAGTTTTGTATCAAGCAGTATCATATTATATGATTGATTCATCAGTTAATTTTTATAAAACACAATATAAACTTGATATGGCAGATATTTTTGCATCATTTGGAAGAAATGTCTTTCTACATGTTTAGTTTTTACTTGTTCTTTATGTTCAATTAGATGAGATTTTTCTAGATTTTTGTGGAATCTCAAAAGAAAGTAGATTAACTACATTATGCAATCAAATACAAATCTCATTAATAGAAATTTCTCAAAAGTTGATTCTTGGCTTATTATTTCATTCAATTGATATCAATAAAATTGACGTTTTTCAATTATTAAAATTTTTTTTTATAGGTCCAACTGATGTATTTCTTCGTTGTCAATTGGCACGTACAATGTGAATAGATCTTGATTTACATGCACAACAAATTCTTTCAAGTCAAAGTAAAACTCATTGTAATCAATCAGAAAAATTATGTTCTGAAATGAATACATTTATATTTGTATTAGATGAAAATCTTGTTGATGATGATACTGTATTAGCTGCTGCTATATGGAAACTTTTTTTTTTATCATTTTCAATCAACTCCACTTGAACGTCTTGTTACGTTTGTGACATATATAAGAAAAAATATTTGATATTTAGAACAATTGCCTAATGAAAATTTTATGAAAAATGATTATATCTATTTTCTATTATTATATGATGGTACTGTTGATACAAAATTTGTTAATTTACGTGATCTTGATATTAAAAATAAAGCTAGAGAATTATTTAAAACATAATAGAGGGTAAATTGTATTTCTGTATTTTTTGGATAATTAAATATGACTAAAATATTGGAACGTTTAACAGATGAAAATATTTTGGAAATTGTATGCAAAATAGAAAAAAGGTAATTAACTAAACAATAAAATATTCATTCGATATTTTTTATTTTAATAATATAGATCATATGGATCTATATATAAAACAAAATATCAAGAAATAGGATGTTTTTTTTTAGCAATAAAACAAGATAGAAAATAAAAATTGAATTAATTTCGTCTTTTTTTTTAGTTTTTATTAATTTACGTAGTTAAATTAACAAGAAATAGTTGTTATATTAAAATATAGACATAAAGAATTCGAATATTTACATTTATGTAGTAAAATTCATCGAGAAATTAAGGCACAAAATATTCTTTTCACAAATAATGATCACTTTCAATTAGCTGATTTTGATATTGCAGGATAATTAACAGTAAATTTAATAAATTTTAACGAAATAATCATTTTTTTTGTTTTTTTTATTAGAATACAATGACAAAACGAAATACAGTGATTGGTAAATATTATTATGAAAATAAAATATTTGGTTAGGATAGCACTGGAAGTCATTCAACAAATCAGATATGGTGTTTTAGCAAAGCTTTGTTATTTAGATTATTTTTATCATTCTATCATGACTACCTTCAACATTGAAAGATACATCACGATGATTATCAGCTATAAATGATTTTTTTTTGAAAACATCTTGTAAAAAATTCTGATGTCCGATCAACAGCAACTGAATTACCTAATAGAATTTTTAGTTTATTTTATTTCTTCATAATTTCTTTTTTTTCGTTTTCTATTAGCATCAATTGATTCGTAATGCTAAAGATATCAATGTTTTACGATGAATAATTGATAAAGTTCGAGAAATTCAAAAACACGTAATAAATCTACAATACTAATCGACAAGATACAGAAACAGATACATTTCAATTACGTAGTTGTTATACAATGAGTGAATTATCATTAGCAT